AAAACTTCAATTCCAATCAAATGCTCGGGTTTTGTTGCTGTTTTCCACTCTCGAGTATAAAGAATGAAAAAGAAAGCAAATATAATTATATATATATATATATCAATCTTGAGGTCATTCCATACCTTCTCGATAGGATTAATGTCTGGAGATTCTGCTGGGGTTCGCCACCAGTTCAATCCGTTGTTTTCCATGTATGATCTCTCATATGAACCTCTTAAGGTCGTTCCATACCTTCTCGATCGGATTGATATCTGGAGATTCTGCTGGGGTTCGCCACCAGTTTAGTCCATTGTTTTCCATGTATGATCTGTCGTAGGAACCACTTAAGGTCGTTCTATACCTTATCGATTGGATTAATGTCTGGAGATTCTGCTGGGGTTCGCCACCAGTTTAGTCCATTGTTTTCCATGTATGATCTGTCGTAGGAACCACTTAAGGTCGTTCTATACCTTATCGATCGGATTAATGTCTGGAGATTCTGCTGGGGTTCGCCACCAGTTTAGTCCATTGTTTTCCATGTACGATCTGTCGTAGGAACCGCATGAGGTCGTGCCATACCTTCTCGATCGGATTAATGTCTGGAGATTCTGCTGGGGTTCGCCACCAGTTGAGTCCATTGTTTTCCATGTACGATCTGTCGTAGGAACCGCTTGAGGTCGTTCCATACCTTCTCGATTGGATTAATGTCTGGAGATTCTACTGGGGTTCGCCACCAGTTGAGTCCATTGTTTTCCATGTACAATCTGTCGTAAGAACGGCTTGAGGTCGTTCCATACCTTCTCGATCGGATTAATGTCCAGATATTCTGCCGGGGTTCGCCACCAGTTCAGTCCATTGTTTTCCATGTACAATCTGTCGTAGGAACCTTCGAGGTCGTTTCATACCTTCTCGATAGGATTAATATCCAGAGATTCTGCTTGGGTTCGCCACCAGTTTAGTCCATTGTTTTCCATGTATGAGTTTCCTATTAATGAGTTAAAAACTTCTTAATTAAAATGTATTTTATGTGCATATTTATACCTCCATGTAGTTTTCATCAGCAGTTCCACATCACTCGCAAAGTCCTTAAGAGCAAGGTCCAGATTGAATGTGCTATCCGAAGCCTGAAATACTGCTACCATTATTGTGTTTGTTCTGGTGTTGGGGTTGGGCAGATTGGCTACCTGTACAGCAAGTTTGAAACTCCTTCCGCCCTTATCACCTCTTAACTTGATCCAGATTTCATCATTTGGAATTCCATCCCATGTCAGGAGGTTTAGCCTGCAAATAAAAAAGAGTTTTTGATAATAGGAAAACAACCAAAGGAAAAGTTCAGTGACCAACACATTCAGCTGTTGGCACGGCTTGCAAGTTTGAAACTCCTTCCGCCCTTATCACCTCCTAACTTGATCCAGATTTCATCATTTGGAATTCCATCCCATGTCAGGAGGTTTAGCCTGCAAATAAAAAAGAGTTTTTGATAATAGGAAAACAACCAAAGGAAAAGTTCAGTGACCAACACATTCAGCTGTTGGCACGGCTTGCAGTTTCAGAAGTTGCCCCCTCCCCCCCCCCCCCCCAAGAGCAAAATGATTGGGAAAATAATATCTGTCGTTGAGGCCATTGTTTTCCGATCTGTCGTAGGAACCTCTTGAGCTCGTTCCATACCTTCTAGATAGGATTAATATCCAGGATTCTGCCGGGGTTCGCCATCAGTTCAGACCATTGTTTTCCATGTATGAGTTTCCCATTAATGAGTTGAAAACTGCCCCCCTCCCCCCCCCCCCCCCCAGGGCAGAGGATGGTTATGATAAAGTATGAGATTCTTTAAAAGTTACACAATTTTATGGTATATTTCTTTTGACGATTTTGAGCATTTTGCTCCGCTATTACAGCCAAATTTGATCCCTGATACATTTTTTTTACATCAGATTTTGAAAAATTGGCCATAAAAATTCAACAAGTCTTCTGTTGTTTTTCCACAAAAAGTTTCTGTTTGCTACACACAATCATGTTCTATTACGTTTTCTTTCCTAGGGCTTCTATGAACCTCTTTTGATTCACATTCTTGCGACCTTTGACCTCTTTCAATGAGTCCTCCATTTTCTTCACTGTATTAATAAGTGAAAACGAATTTGTTTGATCAAATTATGGAAATGCAAGCATTACTTTAAAGATAAAGGTGAGTTCTGGTAATGCGATTGCATTGTGAAAAAAAAAGGTGTGGAATGGATCAGAAACAGTTGATCAAGTAGCATGCCTTGCAAGGTTCTGGAGTCATCAAAATCATAATAAATTTGGCCAAGTCTTGGTAAAGTAACAAGCACTGTACACAGAAAGCTGTATATGGGACAACACACATGGTGTCTGGGCTAGTACTACCTTGATTTCCTTGTCTTTCTATGCTCATTACTCAGCCAGTATACATTTTCTTCCAAAATTGTTTGGCACATGTCATTGATTTGTAATCTTGAACATTCAGTGTAAGTTTCGTTTGATTCTGTGAGAATTAATTTTCTTTTTTAACCAGAACTGGAGTTTATCTTTAAACAAATAGAACTTCGTTATTCCTGGCTCATATTTCCTGATTGAGGTGTTATATGAAAGGGCAGAAAATCATTCCAAAATGTGATTTTTCTTTGTCATTCAGATACCGCCCGCCAAATGACTTTTTGGTACCCTCTCTTCACATTGCTTTTAATCACTCATGCGTGAAATATGCATCATAATGCGTTGCATCAAATGAAAGGAGGATCTATGCTTTACAAATGTGTGCCATTTATTAATTATGATTGTGAGAAAGTTATGATAAAACATAGCTAATTCTCGGTTACATTTTTTCTGGGACGCACTGTATATCTAAATCTCTAATTCTCATTATATCGAACATAAATTAAATTCTCTTATGATCTACATGTATATGACATTTTACTAAAGTTTACAATATATTCTTTTTTTCTTTCTTGTTCTTTGTATACATGTATATTGTAAATAATCCACAACCCTTTAGGAATTTTATTTGTCATATAAGGCGGTGTCACACAGAAAAATCCCTTAAAAAATCCCTTGAGAAATACTTTCAAGGGAGAATTTTCTTGCTTGTTAGAGGATTTTTTATGGGATAATTGATGACAGACAGCAATTAAGAGGATAACTAAAATCCGGATTTTTGGTCTCTGTGTGACACCGTCTATACAGTATTATATATTTGAAAGGAGTTGGAACAATTTTAATTTTTTGCTTGTGTTTCATCACCTTTTTGTGTTCATTCTTCAAACTGTATATTATAGTTTTTCAGCGACCTCTCCACTTCCTCAAAATATAAATGCAGTTAAATTTAAAAATTCAATTTTTGTCTTCCTCAAATATATAAATTACTATTAATATTTGCTTATTACAAATGTAACTATGTTTTGTATACATTTTACATTGTATTCGTTATTATGTATTGTATTTTGTTGGAAATGAAAAAATAAAAATGAAAATGAAATGAATGATTTAGTTGCAACTTGTCCATGATAAAAGCATTGTTATATTCTTTTTCATGTGAAGTCAATTCAAATGGATTGTACAATTGAAAAAGATTTGTTATCTTATTTTCTTTTTCATGGGATGTTAACTCCAAGGAATCGTAAAATTGTGAACATGCATGCATAAGTAAATAGATAAAATTATTTGCTTCTATTTGATTTTCTAATGTTAAAAACGAACGATAGTGAGATTCTCAGATGAAAGAGTTTGTGTTTGTTTTAAGGAGTCATTCTTGTCAATAAAAGCTGTAATTGTTTGATGTAAAGCATGGACTTTTTCTTACTTGTCTTATTTTCAACTGTGATAGTTTGTGTTTGTTATGGGAAATATGCAAGAAGTGAACAGAATAGATGGGTTTACTAACATTCAAATTTATTTTAAATTGATGGACGTTTCTTTCCTGGGGACCTAGTGAGAAGTTATTCCATTAAACCTGTCGTTAACTATGAACTACAATACTTAGAATCCAGTCTGCATGCATTAATTGTTGCTATGTCAGGAAAGCTTTCAGGTTTTCAAGAACAACCTTTGTTTAAAAAAGTATGCATAAAATCGAAATATGTTAGGAGACCAGTTTATTCGGTAGTGGAAAAGGGAGATGGGTGAAGAAAAATAAGCAGGCAGGGTATATAAATGAAGTGAGGATAGAGAGAGAGAGAGAGAGAAAGAGAGAGAGAGAGAGATAGTGAGAGAGAAAGAGAGACAGACATACAGAGAGTGTGAGAGAGAGAGAGAGACAAAGGAGATAGTTAAAGAGAGAAGGTGGGGGAGACTGATAAATGTGACAGATATATTGGCCATTTGTGTAAAGTTATCAAATTTAATGCATACTTCTTTACTTCATTCACTCGTTATAAATAATAGTAATCCAATAGTCAGAAACTCAGAATGCAAAGTTGCACACACAAGGCATGTCTCTCAAACGTAGCAACAACAACGAATGCTCTCTGCATTCTGACTATTGAAATACAATAACTTGTTGCAGGTGAATTTAATAGTTTGTCTCCCTCTTTCTCACTCTCTCTTTCTAAATCAAATTCTACTTCCATGTCCTATTCTTCTCCCCCTAACCCTCCCCTTCTTTCTCTCTCCGTCTCTCATTCTCTCTCTTAATCAAATTTTATCTCCCATTTTCATGTCTCATTCTTCTTCTTCCACTAACCCGTCCCCCTCTCTCTTTGTTTCTCTCTCTAAATCAAATTTTACCTTGCATTTCTTTCTCATTCTTCTTCCCTAACTCAACCCCCCCCCCCCCCCCTCTCTTTTTTGTCTTCCTCTCTCTCTTTCCCTCCCTCTTTCTCCCTCTTTCCCTCCCTCTTTCTCCCTCTCTCATTCTCTCTCGCTCTCTCTCTCTCTCTCATTCTCCCTCCCTTCATCCCCTCTCTCTCCTCATACACACCCTCATACTACTTTCAACTCCAATAACGTTGCAACACAACACATCCATGTTCTACAATCGAAACACAAAAGCACAGAAAACAACGATGACAGGTGGAGATTCTCTGTATTCAAATTTTGGTCATGTTTAGTGTCCGATAGAGACGCACATTCTTAACATCACAGTCCAGGCAAATCAAAAACGCAGAAAAGAAAAACCCAAAATAGAAACAAGACCCAAGATGCTTGCAAACACCCCCCCCCCCCCCCTGGACCCTCCCCTGCCCCGCCCTCCTGACTAGTTGTAACCATGACTACATGAAACATAGCAAGCTCCCACCATTGTGATCACACACACATTTATGAAGTAATTTCATCACCCTGGTCTGGCAATGGATATAATCGTTGGGGCACCATACATGAATTTCTCTCTGTATTTATTAATTAGTCTCTGACATAACATGGTCAAATGCGCATGTATATAGATGCCACATGCAATAAGGGCTGCCCACCACATCTTTAAAGCATCGTGGGAATAGACCTCTGTGCGTACCTTCACTTTATCCCCTGATGTGTCAAAAATATGAGGAACTTGTTGGCAGAATAAAAATGTATTTGAAACCTACATGACTGTATGCACGAAGACCACTAGATCTAAGAGTCAGTCTATTTCTGAGACTCTGTCTAGCTTGAATCGAATACTTCTCCTACCAGTGCTGATGGAGAGCCTCAAAGGTCACGAGATGTTAAAAACTCCTCCCAACAACACAGAATTGTCTGCCTGAAAGACCTGCCTATAAAGGCCACCTATTGTGTCTCACATGGGTTGTCTTTCTATACAGATTTCTCTGAAAATGCTAGAATACGAGGGCTAGCTTTTATGAATTGGTTAAAGTAAATAGGAGCTTGTTTTAAACGGAAATTGACACATTTTCCCATCCACTCCAATTTGAAGACCATGCACTTTTGTACCATACATGAAAGAGACTATTTCATTAATTGATCGCCCAACACATGAGTAATGACTTCTTCTAAAGAACAGTAATCGTTTTTCATTGTTTAAAAAGTAGTGAATATACATACATACAGACAGACAAAATATAATTGCAATTAAAAAATACTCAAATAAAATCCTAAATAAAAAAAGAGAAAAATTAAAATGACCACCTTATTAAATGTATTTCTTTTGCTATTGCAATATGAAATGATAAATCTTCAGGAATATGTACATCAGAAAGTCAAAAACACATGTCTGTATTTTTTTTCATTTTCATTTCAATTGACAGACATTGAAATGTGACATTTTGTGGGATTTGTTTTCTTTATAAATGAGAGTAAATAAAAGAAATTGGCAGCATATTTCTGTTTGTTTGTTTGTATACAATGTAACTCCTCCTCCTCTTACATAACTCGTAAACAATTTGTACATGCAGAAAACTAAAAATGAACGCGAGGAATACACTATCAAAAAAAGGAAAAGTAAGATATGCAAATTCTGCATCAATTTTGATTCACACAGAATTTGTTTTCTAGGAGGGGGACACTATCAAAAAAAGGAAAAGTAAGATATGCAAATTCTGCATCAATTTTGATTCACACAGAATTTGTTCTTTAGGAGGGGGGGGGGGGGCACAAAGAAAAATGGTTAAGGACAAACATTCAAAGGAAAATCATGTCTAAATTTTGGGTAAATTTCTTCTCTCTCTCTACAAAAAAGAAAGGGAAAAGGCTCTCCTGTTTCTCATAATTCCGATATCAGAGGATCAGTTCCACTACCGGTTTCAAGAGCTTTCCCTGGTGTTTACAAGAAAAGGAAAACAGGCATTCCAGGATAATATTAAAAAAGGCCTGATTAGGATAAGTAATTCTAAAAGCTTCAATGGATGAAATAAAAGACTCTTGTAGAGTTCTATGATAAAACAAAAATATGTGCAAAAACGTTTTGCAAACTATCGCAAGGTGACACTACATTTTTCCTTGTTATTGCTATTAAAGTCTACACATACAACCATGGATAAAATTAATACAGGGTTAACTTACGAACGATAGACTGTATGTTGATGGATCGAGCATCCCTCTTGCCTTTAAAGTGACAATATGTATGGCAAACAAATACGCAGTGCATGGATTCTCAAATTAAAAAAGTTGGAATAACACAGTGAATTATGTAAGGACTGATATAACTGACTGTATTTCTGTTTTCAGGTAGTTGTGACACATGCATGCTCAAAGGTCAATTCATGGAGCTCCCAAAAGCTCCCTCCCACTACATACAATCTCTATGGGAGAAAACCATTGTGTGCTCCACGAAGTTGACCTAACAAGCATGTCACAACTCTCTCTCCTCTGCTAGCTATGGTTTAAACCCCTATAAAAAGCATTTATGCTACTGGAAATGTGTAACAGGATGCCGGCTGTTTTTTAACTCCTGATTGAAATTACTTAGTTCAGCTGATTAATCAACATTAGTTGGTCTTTAATACGTTGGCTAGAAGTTTGTAAGGCCTATAATTAGAAAACAAAATATAAAATTTGAAGAGAGTTATGTCATATCGAATCCTGCATACGCCTCTCTCTCCATACAATATCCTATGGAACAAAATTTCATACAGAATCCTTTAAAATCATGAAATACATTAAAAAACAAAATTAATCTTGATACACATATTCTGAACATTTACAATCAAACCCTTGATGATAGAGAGAAAATAATAGAAATAAAGCGCGTGATAAAATTTGTCTCCTTGGTTTTCAAACAAAGTCAAATAGTCTCAACCTAAATACAACATATACATGTACACGTAAAATCCATCACACAACTCTCTTTTTTGTGTGTCTTCTTCAATGTCTTTTGTAGAGTCTGGAAGCACGGAAGTGCTAGGTGGAAAAACAACTGGATTTCAAGTCTAGGTGGTTAACTGTTTGCAGTCAAGAGTATTTACAATGTACACAGACCAACACAAGCACCACTTCTAGTGGCTCCAAACTAGTATACAAAAACAGCTGTTTCTTCAATATTACTCTTATTAATATTATTCTTATTAGTGTTATTAGTCTCGATACTGCTATATACTTCTCCTTCTCGCCACATCTACAAAACTCTCTCATGAATTCCGGCCGGATAATGGCTAATTATTCATCCCTGCTTCCTCTATACACATCACCTGCATCAATACCTAAATCTACATCATACTATAATTTTTTTTTTGTTCACAAAATCACACTGGAAAAATACTTACATCTAACAGAATTTTTATCTTCCTTTTATACAAGTCAATTTGCAAACACATTTTTTCTTTCTATTTTATTTTTTCTCCTATTTTTTCTTCCTTTTCTCTTCCCTTTGAGAGGCAAGAAGTTTATTTCAGATAAATGTAAGTCCAATGTCTATTTCTAATACGTGCCAGTCTTCAAAATCACACAGAAAATAAACCTTCGACCGTTGTTGATCAACCTCAATATACAGCTATTTTGTAATTGGAATAATTGAAAATTGAAAAAGAAATACAAAATATGAACAGATCTAGGATGACAATAAATTGTAGCCGCAAACGAGGAGCAAAAGTCTTGGCACAAGTTGTCTCGGGTTCTTTTTTGTTTTGATAACATACATGAAATCTTAACATTGGACTTGAGTAAACTAGAAAAGTAGAACATTTTGTAATGAATATACCTAGGACAAAAATATTAGCTCTGAATAATGCAAAAAATGGGTAGAATTGCAAATCTGAATTCAATACAAACGAGTGTAAAGCATTTACAAGTATTATTTATCAACTGCATTGGGAAAAAACAAGAAAAAGTTGCATCTTGCAAAAACTGTACAAAAATATCGTTTCACGGTTATACAGTGAAAAATTCTGGTATAGAGGCTGGATTGAGAATCATTTCAGTGAGATGTCGTTAAGCCCCCTACAGCCATAAGCACAGAATGCAAATGACTTAATTCATTTTTACCGACAAGGTTTAACCATATGCTACCATCATGATGAATGTGATAGGTTCTACGTGATATCACTGTCCAGGTTTTGGCAGGGTGAGATCTATGGTGAACTTCCAGGTCCTTGAAAGGACTCGACTATGAAACGAGCGATGCTTGATTCGACGATCCTTGATAGAAGTGCCAAACTTTTCATTCTGGTTCCTTCTAGTCTGTACTTAATTATCAAGAACTTGCTGGATTTTTCCTGCTCAAGGTTAAGCACTCCGTGATCTACTGCAGTTTCTGTTTCTATGCTACGGTATTTAACGTTCTTTGTCAGCGACCTTCTGCAGTGGCCTTCGAAGTTGCAGATGCTTCCTGAGGCAAATAAACTGCAGCGTTTCCAACATTACTTTTGCTGGTGATCGGGAAATTATTCCAACTGTTGAGCATTGTATTGTTGAACATCCAAATTATACTCTTAGAGGCAGAGCAGGCTCACTTGTCGTTTCGCGAAGTAGACGATTCCCCTTTAGATTGGACAGTTCACTCCTACGGCTAATCCTTTAAATTTCACCTTAACAAATTTGTTTGGCTTACATGGACCTCCAGAGTATTTGCGCTAGGGAAGCAACAGGGAGAGCGACTGATCGAAGATTCCCCTTTAAATTGAACGGTTCACTCCTACGGCTAATCCTTTAAATTTCACTTCAACAAATTTGTTTGGCTTACATACGGCAGACCTCCAGAGTATTTGCGCTAGGGAAGCAAGAGGGAGAGCGACTGGCTGGACTCGTGTCTAACACCTACTAGATAATACACCAAGACGAGTAACAGACTATACCAAGTTTTGTCCATTTAAAGATTGGCAGCATTTCATATACACCTTGTTTGAATTTCAAGATTTTTCGGGGGCACTTACAGGAGACATGGAAGGAACAATCTTATAGGTTGTAGAACTTGATGGATTCTGTACATGGATTGACTTGTTGGCCATTCTAAAAGACAGCTTAATGTACAGAAAGAGAGGTGAGATGAGATAGATTTGGAGTTCTAGAAGATTGGCAGCGGCGATGACGATGATATGAAGGGATACAGCTGTCATTTCAGCTCCCTCCCGTGTCTCTGGGAGAAGGGGGTAGGATCTCCTGATCCTTGAGTTAGAGAGAGAGAGAGATGGGTTCAGAGTTCAAGAAGATTGGCAGCAACGACAACGACATGAATGGCTATGGGCGTCATTTCACGTCCCAAATCTCTTGGAGGAGGGGAGGGATCTTTTGATCCTTGACTTTGAGTTGGAATAAGAGCTCAGAGTGGCTGTTGTTTAGGCTTCGTAGCTCCGTCAGTTTCATCAGGACCTTGGGTAGGAGAAGGACTTCGTGGGGGCGCCTCAGCTTGAGGTACGAGCGCAACATGTCCAGGTAAGTCTCCTGCATCTGCTCCACTCGCTCTCGCTCATTGATGGCTGGACGATCTGGGAAGTAGAAAAGAAGGCACTTAGGCTCAGTCTTCCTTCAATCATTGTTTTTATTGACAATGCATTATCAAGGGTTCAGTGACACAAAGACGTAACTCCATATTTTGCCAAAATGAGTATTTGATATCAAAATGTTCAGAAAAATGTGGGCTTTCCAGGAAACACAAATACTTAACTCCACCTAACACCCCATTGAAGTCAATGACTAGTGAAACATAGACTTGACTCCTTAAGGCCCAAGTGCTCAGTGACACATGAACCAATTTTTCTCAAAATGGAGTTACGTCTTTGTGTCACTGACCCCTCGATATCATGATCACCAACTATTTACATTCTACATACAGCTTTGGAAGTAATTACTCAAATTTTGGCTCCAGCCATCATCATTTGCAAGAAGTGCATCCGATAGAAAATTCCTGGGTTGAGTGTGGCAAATGTAGATTAATACCTTGGCAGAGGATTTTGGAGAAGTGGAAAGGGCTCGCTCCAACCCTGAACCTGGAGGACGTTTCACAAAGACAAGGATCAACTTTAAGTTGGACTTAACTATGGCAGGCTATTCATGCCTCTGTTTGCTCTCTCCATTTACTGGCATTGGTCTCTAAAGGGTACAAAAGTACAAATCGTACTCACAAATCTACAGAATTTATATTATTTGATTATTCATTTTTGAAGGAAAATGTATTATCTAGAGATCATAATTGTGAGAGCAAACAGTGGCATGAATGGCCTGCCATTATTAAGTCCAACTTAAAGTTGATCTTAGTCTTTGTGAAACACCCCCATGATGATCCAAAGTTCGGTGACATACGCACTAGACACCACAACATCTCTACAATTGGCCCAAACGGGTTTACACTTACCTGGTGATAATATCGTGATTGCCATTAGAAGAATGAACTCTGCATAGTCCAGATCCAGCTCCGACATACTCTTGGCAAAGTTATACATGGGATCAACCAGGTCTCCGATACCGCCCTCTAGCAGCTGCTTTCGCGTGTAGGGCATCTCATTGCCGAACATGATGGCGTCGAGCTCCCGGTCGTACCGTAGGGCCACTCTCAGCATTATTACTTCAATGGCCGAGCCCTAGAAGATGTCAGAAAATTGTCATGGTTAGAGTTATTTGCATTCTTTAATCATCAGCAAATTGTCATGGTTACAATAGAGTTATTTGCATTTTTTTATCATCAGCTTCGCTAGGGAAATATTCCCCGTCTTCACTCTATGTTTAGATTGATATTTCATATCAGGACAAAGGACGAATAAAATTAAAAATGTTTTGATCTCGTGAAAACGCCACCACCAACATGGTTACATGTACCGTAAAACAATTATTAAAGGGAAGGTCGAGTTCTGGGAAGAGGTGAACAATAATTTGTGAGCGTTACCATTGTATTTTGCAATTGTGGAAGAACATCAGATAAAAAATGTTCCCTGAGAAGCATGGCTCTTCAAATGCCTTCTTCGTCTAGTCCCATATACATCTTTCTGTGTACAGTGCTTGTAACTTTACCAAGACTGGGCCAAATTTCTTATCATTTTGATGATTCCAGAACCTTGCAGTACAATCATGCTAGATGATCAACCTTTTCTGATCGATTCCACAACACTTCTTTCACAATGCAATCGCATGACCAGAACACAACTTTATCTTTAACTTTCTAGCGTAGGCATCATCATCATCATCATCACTGCCAACAGCACCGTTACCCACCTTTAAGAGTAGTATCTGGTCTTCCCTGGTCAGCGTCAGGAAACCCGGTATGTGTTTGCTGTACTCTACGATGAGCTGAATGGTGAGGATGGTGAGCTCGGTGATGTGAGCGAAGCGACGGTGGAGCGCATCGTTGTCCTGGTCGTCTAGCTCTTCTCCATCGCCATCTTCCGATCTCTTGGGGGTTAATGAGACGGGCATTAACTGGAAGAGAGAAGACAAAAATACAAATAAACTTTGCCCGGTAGGTACGAAAGTTAATGTGGTTGGATTAGCATGTGGCGCTTGTAAAATGGCGACTGGCTTGAATGCTCCCCAGGGAGTGGAAAATGTGCATACATTGTGTTGCTGGTAAGTCTGAAACCGATGACCGGGGTAATAATATGTGCTGCGCCTAGAAACAAAGTATTAGGCGCATTATAAATGTGAGCTATATTATTATTATCTGCTTGTGAAGGCTAAGTATGCTGTAAAGCCAACAATTTTCAAAACTTGTACACCTGGGTCAAAAAAGTGGCAACTGCCAACTCTCCTCTAAAGATTGAAAAAAATCAGCAAATAACCTGGGGAGTGTTTCACAAAGACTAATATTATCTAAATATCATAATGGTGAGAGCAACCAGTGGTATGAATGGCCTGCCATAGTTAAGTCCAACTTAAAGTCGATCTTAGGCTTTGTGAAACACTCCTCTGTTCTTAAATCTAGACATAATACTAGATGTATCCCTAAACAAAACTTTAAATAAATTTCATTTTTACTCATGAATAACAATAATAATTTAATCATGAATAATAATAATCATTTAATCATAAAAATTGATAATCATCAAATGATTATTAGACCAATAGGGTCGTAGACGAACTGGGTGTAGACCAAACTGCATTACTCTTACCCCTGGTAGTGGATTTGATGTATCGTATATATCTGAAGCCTGCACCGATTTGGGCCCGTTGTCATCGCTAGAGTCTTGCCCCGAGTTCTGGCCCTCTTTCCATGGCTGTAAGAAAATTAAAAATAAATTGAAATAGAAATCAATAAGTATTGTTTATATAACACACATGGCAGGGCGTAAACAAATTGCACTGGTAGGATTAATTAAAGCCCCACTGTCCTACTTGTAGCTACTTGCTCCCTCTATATAGAAAACTTCCCCAATCGGTGCCTGTTGGTCCCCCATGATCCTCTTTTTCTTATGTTAGTTGAGAGCTGAGTTAATGAGATAGCCACCTGTCAGTGACCTTGCTGCGTTGTCTAATCCCTTCTGGCCCAGTAGTACTGACAGTCTTTAAGGAGAGAAAAGTTGAATACTTTGGTCATGTTAAAAGACACCAAAGCCTCTGAAAGGATTTGTTGGAGGGAAGAGTGGAAGGAACTAGACCGAGAGGGAGACCAGAATCAACTGGGAAGAGAATGTCAAGAACGGGAGTGGACTAAAACTGCAAGAGTGCACCAGAATGGCAGAAGATAAGAGTGAAATGGAGAGATGTTGCAATCCACCTCCGAACCGGGAGAAGATACTTAGATAGATATAGATATAACAAGATAATAATTAATAAATAATAACAACATTGGGTGCTTGTATAGCGCTCGTATCTCTCAGTACTTGACACTCCTGGCGCTCCCGATTATTTCCCTGGCTTTCGCATGGCTGCCATTACAGCGCTCTAGCATTTCAAGGAATTAATTCCTACCAGGTACCCATTTTACATCACCTGGGTTGATGGTGGCAAATGTAGGTCAATGAAACAACTATATCATAAAGAACATGAATTGTATCGCTTGGTCTTTCAAAATAGGGTTAAAAGACACAGAGCTTTCTTCTGGAGTATTTTGGTGTGTTATTAAAAAGTTTTCAAAGAAATAACAGTATCAACAGTACAGAAAATTCCATAATTACACTAGGTTTATTTTAAAAGATCATATCGTATCATATTTCATTGTATTGTAGGTTGTAATTTAAATCTGTGCCTTAGCGAAATCAGACATTTGAACACAATTAAGTCTTGAAAGACGTATCAGGACGATTACCCCCTGGACAATCACCCCCTGGAAAATTACCCCCCCGAAAAACTACCCTAGGTGCAACTTCCCAGTGACGTCACCATCTCTCACAGCAAGCTATGCTTACTGCAAGCCAATCTAACCTCCCTCCCCTACAGTCATCTATACACAGAGTTTGGCCAACTTGGTTTCACTGGGCCACAACATGGCGTATTTTCAATTGTTTTGTGCTTGCCCAACAAAGCAGTAGTCCGCCATTTGTGTCCAACTTGAACCGGATTGACCAAACTCTGTGTATAGATGGCTCTGCTTTCCCCTAGGACACTCCCTTACCGTAACTCTCTTGAGGTCCTCAGGACCTGGTATCTCCAGCTCTTTGTGTATGCTGACAAGATTCTCGATGACCTCCCTCTGCTCATCAGTGAGCAGGGGGATGCTTTCTTCTTCGCTTTGTTGCGGACTTTGATCGATCTGTTGCTGCTTCTTCATCATCTTTCTCTGTCTTTTCGATTTACATTGTTCCTCTGTTAACAAACCTGTTTAAAAACAAGCAGGAAACACAATGATTGAATGATAAACTTAGTAAAGGTCACAGCCAGCAGGCTGCTACGTTTCCTAAGTGTAACGCTCTTTTAGGGGTTGGAATACATGATGTTATGTTCTTCAAATCTTATCGAAATGAACTTCACAAATATCGTTTTAAAGATATCAAAGGTTTTTCAAGAATGTATTCCTTTGTACTCTAAGCCAAATTGATGAATACATGTACATTTAAACTGATGAACAAACATCCCCCCACCCACTCCCACGAAGTGCTGCACAGTGGCAACCAGCCCACATTGCACAAGTGAAAATTGAATTCATCAAATGGACAATAAATACTTCAAATCAACATTAATTTCAAGTCAGAATGTTAGATAGTACCTTGAACAAGATTACATACAATGAAAATAACCCTATAAAAACAATCCCACCCAAAAATTTGAATCTATCTTCAATCATCTGAAAGTGACTTAAATATTCTGCGAGCATGCCGACTTCTCTGCATTTTCAGGACAGGATTTATTTTTAGGGCTAAATTGATCACATATTAACGTTCAAATTGGCAACAAAAACATCTCACTACAAATTTTGAATCCATTTCAAACGTGACTTACATTCTGCGAGCATGCCGACTTCTTTGCATTTTCAGGACAGGATTTATTTTGAGGGTTAAATTGATCACATATTTACGTTCAAATTGGCAACAAAAACATCTCACTACAAATTTTGAATCCATTTCAAACGTGACTTACATTCTGCGAGCATGCCGACTTCTCTGCATTTTCTGAGTCTGCATTCTTGGCATTTTCTCCTCATGTACATGTCCATCTCACAGTTGCCTCCCCTCGTGCAATTATACTTTGCATTCTTTGTGATACTTCTTCGGAAGAAACCTGAAAAACAAAGAAGAGAGAAGGGAAAAAAGCTCAATTAAAGGTAATACAAAGTTTTGGTATGGGGTCATGAATTTGGTTCAAATGAACAATATTGGAAGCATATGCGATCCTACACTATTCAGTGATCGTTGGTCGAGGTCGAAATCGACTCTAAATTTATGAAATTGTAAATAATAAACACATTATGTTGTATAGCGCCCTCGAGGTCAAGATATTAATTAAGCTATAAAACAATGTATCTTGACTAAAATCGACTGATTAGCTATTCCTGTTTGGAAACTATATAGCACAACTCCATATTCCGAGATTTTCATGGTCGCAGCTACCAATGTATAACCGTAGGAGCTACCGTATTTGAAATTTATCAAAATTTACCGGAGCACCGGTAAATGTTTATATTCAATTTTTCTCGAAGCAGAAATGTTTTAGGGGCTAATTAACATTTCTAGTGCATTTAATACATCCACAGGGGCATCCAAATATATCAAAATTGTAAAGAATAATTATCCACCCATTTTTCAAAATTTACCAAAACTTTGTAATACCTTTAACCACTTTAGGGACCTGTTTCACGGAGCATTTTTTCAATGACAGATTAAATCAGCGACAAATTTGCAGATTACCAATCAGAAGCAATTTTACTAGATTATAACAAAAACTGTCACTTGTCACTCATGACAAATTTTGCCAAATTGATCACATATTGTCCTTCAACTTGGCAACAACAACAATCTATTCTTGCTACATTGTTAAAATAAAATGTACTGTCTCTGAAAGGGTTCTACAGGGGCGGGAATACTCTCGAAAAAAAAAATAAAAAAAAAAATTTGCAATGATTTTGAATTTATCAATGTGTTGCCAATTCAAGGATTTTACAGCTTATTTTCCTTTAAAAAATTCCCGACATTAAAAGCTAGATAGTCATGAACAAAAATGGATGCAGTATGAACAAGGCTTTATTTGATGTTATAATCCATGTTATGTCATTAAAGGTAAAGACCAGTATTGGAAACGCCCCAATATTAAAAAATGAAATGGAAGCTCTCATTACCAATCATGTGAAAGAATATGTTTTGACTAATACATGATGATAAAAAAATTGCCGGGAAACCGCCTACTAATTCATATATTTGGTAAATTTGTTTCTCTCATGGTCTGTGAGAGATATAGGGTAGTCCCATATATATCTTTCTGTGTATAGTGCTTGTAACTTTACGAAGAATGGGCCAAATTTCTTATCATTTTGATGATTCCAGAAACTTGCAGATGCTAGATGCTAGATGATCAACCTTTTCTGATCGATTCCACAACGTTTCTTTCACAATGCAATTGCATGACCATAACTGGTCTTTACCTTTAAGTTTTATACAATGAAACACTTCAATACGTTTCAATATGTTATACATTCATAGCGACCACCTGTATAGAAAGACTACATTTCTACCTAGACCAAATTTATTGTTTCCCTTGGAAAGGGTCTCTCATTGAAACATGTACTATAGAAACCTGTACATAAAGACCACCTGCCTTATAAAAACCACTTTTCTCGTCTACCTTGAGTGGTCTTTATATACAGGTTTCACTGTTTCCTTGTGTGAAAGTGGAGTAGAAGTAAATGACCTTGAGGGCTATATGTGCTTTTCTTTGTATCTGTGTAGGAACTTAGGAAGCTTCGTCACGAAGCTGATATTGAAGGACTTCCTTCCTTATCCTGACCATAAAACCACTTTTCTCTCTAATGTACTCTAATTTAAATGCATCGTTTAACAATGTTAGACCAGACCATGGTATATATATATACATGTTATCAATGTCTGTGATATGGTGTAACATTGAAGCCCTAAAAAAAAATCAGTTTAAAATGATCATGAAGTCAAGTGCCTCAAAAAAGTAAAATTCTTTAAATGACCGTTTTTTTTAGAATACTCATTTTCCCAAATAGACTGTAATGTTATAAAAACTGTTAGGAAAACAGATTTTGAAATTTCCAATTTCCATTCATAAATATCTTGATATTCAGTGAGTGAACTTTAAACTTTGAACTTTGACCTTACCTTTGCATCCCTCACAGCTGAGAGCATTATAATGGAATCCCGACGCCCTATCCCCACACACCAGACACAACTCCAAGTCCATGCGCGGCGCTGGACCTTTCCTCTTCTTGACACCAGAGGGCCCCGTGCTCCCCTCCGACGATATCGACTGCGGCGAAGACTGCTCCTTCATCGAGAGCGGGGGTAACGTGGACGAGGAGGTGGAGGAGGGGGAGACCAGGGAGGGGGACTGTGAGTAGGGGCGACCCGTCGATTGGGGCAGCATCTCGTAGCCGGTATCTGGCGGCTCAGATTTGATCTGTAGCGACTGTGTGGCTGGATCTGCAAACGGAGTAAGAGGAATAGATTTCACGTTAGATATTGGTGTCCCACAGGGAACAATTATTGACAAACGCAAATGAGTCTGAATAATTAAGAATGATCAGATTTAACTTTAACTTTGGTTTAGTCAATGAAGTAATAAATAAATAGTTATGCTATCTTGTTATAGGAAAAAATACAAGATCTGCATGTGGAATAATCATGAATTAAGATAAGATAACGTAACTATGTATATTGATACAGCACCAAAAATAGTTATCAAACTTTCAAAAATACATATACGTACATGTAGCATGGACTTACTAGGTCTTTGTATGTACATGCATACAGCTTTACAATGAAAACATATAGTAACACTTTTCCTAAAAATATGAATTGTGGTGAATATAGGATTACAACAGAACAGAACTTTGAAAAGCAAGATGGAGGTTTGGGCATTAATTGTTTTGAATGAGAATTTGTTAAAAATAATCAGGGTTCATATTGTTATCAGAACTTCAAGTAGTATGAGAATTGTAAGCACCCATGCTCTAATTCCCTCATAACATGTATTCAATGAATTTGTCTCTTTCGTTTTTACAGTCATGGTACATACATGCTCCTTTTCACGTTTCTTTACAGCACGTTTCCTCGTGTGCGAAACAGCCCATAGACTGCACCTCTTCCTATAGTCTACTAAAGTCTAGACTCTTTTCGATTGATAAGAGATAAAAGGCTTAAAAAACTCAAGACTTATTTTTAAAGACTGGTCTTTACGAGCCGCCCAGGGTATAAATTACCAAATAGGTCTTCATCCAATCCCTTTGGATAACATAAGAAGAAAGGAGATGGTCGATTAGAAAGAGCTAATTATCTTATTTTCTTTTATCCTCCAAATTGAATGAGCTAAGATCCACATTGTAAATACATCGTCACGAGAGGCAACAAAAGGCGCGGCCTTCACTCCTTCTTCTCCCCTTCTTCTCTTTGGGGGTACGTATTGATCTTGGTTGCAAAGAGTGAATTTATTAAATACACTGTTATTGATTTCAAACACTTTTATATTGCCCTCAATGAGTTTTCGATGCAGTGCATGTTCGTCAAAGAGACTCATGGGTACATGATTGAGTTTCTAACTTGGAAAGGTGAAGGACTGCTCAGTTATACTGTTTTCACACTGGCAATATTTTGCTTAACCCCGTACTATAGGTGGGGTTAAGGGGGGTCTTAGCCCCACCTATAGTACGGGGTTAAGCCTATTCCACTTTCTGTTCAGACTGGTTTTACCAAAGTGGGCTAAAGTTGGCTAACCCCACCTATAGTACGGGGTTAACTAACCCTGCAAAATAGCAGGGCTAACTCCGCAATTGTGGTGCTAACTCCTGCTAACCCCGCAATTGCGGTGCTAAGCAAATGAATGAGAACAGGAACGAAAAATAGTCCGGTACTACGCAATGGAGCATATCGCAGCTGGCCAGATGCGAAGTATGTCCAATCATAACATACACGATATCCGGGGTTAACGAAATGCAGTGAGAACAGCGGGAATTTTCTTATTCCGGAATAGGCGCTAGTACGGGACTAAAAACAGCGAGTGTGAAAAGCCAAAAAAATAGTCCGGGGTTAAGGATAGTACGGGACTAAGCAAAGTACGGGGTTAAGCAAAACCGGTAAACCAGTGCAAAAATACCCGCCTTTTTCTTTAATGACTTTAATAACGTGTAACTGAATGGCAATTGCTATAAAGACGGTCCTGGGCGTATTCACATGTCTTTGTCTTATGAGCAATAAAAATGTGCAACAAAAATGTGCAACATATTACAGTTACTGGTATATAAAACGTCATCATAAAAAAAAACACTACGGTTTAATACCAACATAAAGCCCTGTTCGGATATGTACAGAGGGCTTTATGTAGGTGATGTATTTACATTGCTATAGAGCCTGTCTAAAAGTTAATCTGCAGGGGTATGTGATCAATAGGGATATATAGGGGATACATACGGATTAGGAAGCCCCCCAAATTACAAAATCTTCTCGAGAATCACAACATTAAAAGGACTCCATGAGCTCAAGCACTTGATATCAGTGGCATAGAGACCGAGACCAGCCAAGAAGCGGGATCTTTCAAGTAGGATGAAATGTGAAAGGACATGGCCTTCGACAGAGAGCAGAGGATGTGGGAGGGGGTTGTATTTTTATTTTTCTCTTTTTTTTTACAGTGCTTTCTCTGTTCTTGTTCACTCTTTCATCTTCCTTATTTCTTTTTTCACCACCAGATTAAGGGCACATGCCTCCCCCTCCCCACTCACAAGCTATGCCACTGACTGATACCATTCACATGACCCAAAATTAATACCTATTAGCTCCCCCCCCCCCCCCCCCCAAAAAAAAAAAAAAAAAAAAAAAAAATCAGTTATATTATGAATGATCTGTGGAAAGCCAAGAAGGGCATTATCATGTACACTTGAATTGATTTAATACCCATCTGTCTCTCAACAGACAAAATCTGAAAGCAATTTTATAAGAATTCTTTTTTAATATTGGATAGCTATCATGATATAAAACAAACACTCATTATTCAATGTGTAATCAATAGTAAGGTTTGGCTTGAAAGTGAAAAAGGGAGGGCCTGTTAAAGTACATGAATGCACTGTAATTCCACCTGTATTTTCATGAAGATTTTTTGTGCGACAGCTGGTACAGCATTACCCTTCTAATTTTCATATTATATCACAACATTTCTGCACTTGCAAACAAAAAAAGAAAGAAAGAACAAAAACAGCAGTATGTTGCTCTCATTAAAACCAACAGCAAACATTGAAGAAGAGAAAAATATGAGAAAACGTTTGTTCATAAGGAAGTTAAGATTTTATCCAGGGCTGGAGAACAGAAACTCATCATCCAGATTTTCTGTGATATCCAGGATAGCTGGAAACTTTGTTTGTAAATCTAATTAAAATTAAAGAGCTCCAACAAACCAGAAGTAACATTTTCACTGGTATATTACCTGTACCTTTAATATGATAAATAAAAATGAGACAGAAGAGAGAGAAGAAACAGAGAATAAGGAAGTTTTCCTGGGCTGAAAAAAGGAAACTCATCATTCAGATTTTCTATAATATCCAGGATAGCTGGAAACCACCTTGTTTGAAAATTTAATAAAAATTAAAGAGTTCCAGCGACCAAAAAGTAGTATTTTCACTGGTATTACCTGCACCTGTACCTTTAATATGATAAATAAAAAGGAGACAGAAGAGAGAGAAGAGACATAGAAAAAGGTTGAGTAGCTTGTTCATTCAAGGAGATTTCATTAAGACTGGTATCATTTATACCATAAAAAGAGGGAGGTTGAGTAGCTTGTTCATTCAAGGAGGTTTCATTAAGACTGGTATCATTTATACCATAAAAAGAGGGAGGTTGAGTAGCTTGTTCATTCAAGGAGATTTCATTAAGACTGGTATCATTTATACCATAAAAAGAGGGAGGTTGAGTAGCTTGTTCATTCAAGGAGATTTCATTAAGACTGGTATCATTTATACCATAAAAAGAGGGAGGTTGAGTAGCTTGTTCATTCAAGGAGGTTTCATTAAGACTGGTATCATTAATGCCACATTAGGAGACAGAGTGACTCCTTTAACAAACAGCCAAGCGATCATTGAAAACAGGCTATTTGTTTGTAATGCTTGAATGATTTGAAACTCTTAATGCAGCACTAATATGCATTTTCCCCTAAAAACTGTCTAAGAAAGAAAAGGGGAAAAAAAAAACCTGTCAAAGGGGGAAAAATGTGGGAAGCTCAAGTAATAGAAATCTTATAAACAAAATAATGCTAAATGTGCAGTTCTAGAATGATGTGGTAAACTTAGTCTACCCGTAAGAGAAATAATTAATGGAGATATTTGAATATGATAACACTATTGAGGGCTGACAGAACAAATTGACTCTCTTGACCCAGGTTTGTTACTTGTACCTTTAAAATTAAAAAGAGGAAAAAGGTTGAGTAGCTTGTTTATTCAAGGAGATTTCATTAAGACTGGTATCGTTTATACCATATTAGCGAAGTAAGTCCTTTCACAAGCAGCCATGCGATCATTGAAATCAGGCTATTAGTTTGTAATGCACCAATGCTTTAAAACTCTAAATGCAGCAGTTTAATGTGGTATGTTCTGTCATTCTTAACAAAAAATGTGTAAGAAAAAAAAGAGGGGAATAAAAACTGGTAAAGTAACTTTAAAAAAAAAAAAATTGTGGAAACTAAAATGATAGAAATTTTGTAAGGAAACAAAAATTGCTACATATGCAATTCTAGAATGATGTGGTAAGTACGTAAGTCTATGAGAAACAACTGATGGAGATATTTGAAAATCATACTATTGAGAGCTGACTGAACAAATTTACTCTCTTGACCCAGGTTTAGTTAGTCATGCGTAGAGACCCCTCCCCCTCCCTTCCTTCAGATTAACAATTTCTTTATACAGCTATACAACAAGTAAGTTAGTTTTATAGTTTGAATGGTAGCTTAGCGAAATGTGGTGGCACGAAAAGAGGTGTCCCGAACGCAAAATGCATATTTGTTAAAAAATCATAATTTTCTAAAAACAGAGGTACATCGTGGAAACACACCTTTAGGTTTTGGAGCTTGTTAATGCATATACCATCACAATGAGGCTTAGTGTTAGCAAAACTTTCATTGAGATATGTCATAAAAGTACTTTCAATTAACAGACATGAGTAACTATTATGCATTGTTTTCGTGTTAACGCGACACTTCGTTTTACTACCGAATAAGGCTCGTCTCTTGCTGGTACCAGGCAGGATTAACTTTATTCCGTGAAATGCAATGTGAGCTCAAAATGGCTGCCTTTCTAACAGCATGAACTTTGATAGCACCTAGAAAAAGAGATGAGGAGCGGAGCGTGGGCACTATCATGTGTGAATGTGTAATTGAATCCAACGATCAGGGTTACAATGTAAAGCGCATAGAAACAAAGTAGGGCCTATTCAGGGCTATAAACATGTGACTACTGTTTTCCTTATTGTTATTATCATTATTATTATTAATGCCATCATTAATATCGTTATTATTGTAATTGTCATCTTTAAAATCATTATTATTACAGGGGTGATAGTGAGTAAAAAAATATTTAAAAAAGTATTCATTAGAAAAAAGTGGCAACTAACAACATTCCCCCCCCCCCCCTTTTTGAGTAAGAAAATTAGGAAAAAATAGAAAAATAGGAAAAATAGGAAAAATAGGAAAAATAGGGAAAATAGGGGTAAAATCAGGAAAAAAAAAATCATCTAGTAATTACCAGGCCTGTTATTAGTAGTATAATTATTATCATCATCATTATGATCTGGTACGTGGAACACAGAACTCATTAACTGATAAATAGATAGCTCCTAATGTAGAGCAGATCTGCATACAGCTTCATAGCAACGGAATGAAAAAGGGGGAAATACCAAAAAATACCACACTATAGAAAACTCCTTGGCTTGCCATTTAATTTGCATTGTATATGTCTGCCACCACATACATGCAATATTCATCACAAAAAATGAGCACATAGTACTGGTATCATGCCTGTATACAATTGCAGGTGCATGCATTGTAGCGCTCATAAAGTCAACTCAACTGTGCGCAAGTCCCCATTAACATGACAGACTGAACAAATTTACAACAATTCATCCAGAAATTCTGCATATATCACATGACAAAGGCCATCAAATGTGCCCATTAGTCATGAAAATCCTGGTGTAAATGAATTAATGAACCGTTACCAACAATGACTAGCCTATACAAAGATCCTTAGAACTGCCAAGAGTATTTTTTTGAAAAATGCTCACATCTGAATAGTTTGTAAAACTTGAACAACACTTGGCAAACTTGGCAAAATAACAAAATAAATACTTTCGTGGGAGTTGGGAGAGCATTATTTTCTAATTTAAATAAATGTTTGAGAATATTTTTTTTTAAATGCACACATCTGAATAGTTTGCAAAACTTGAACAACAATAGCAGGCAAAATAACAAAATAAATTCTTTCTTGGGAGTTGGGAAAGCATTATTTTCTAATTTAGATACATTTTTGTGAAGAAATTCATTTTTAAAATAAAGTTGAATTATTTTGAGAATTGAGTGATAAATTTACAAGTATAACCGGAAAAGGCAATAGAATTAAATTCCATTACTTTGGCTTTTGTTCTATGTGCAATGATTAAACAGCATTGCACATACTTTTAATGTGTTGATTAATTTTTATAGAATTATCTTTCATACTGATCTGCCAGTATTACCAGATATTTGTACCAGATAATTTCGCATTATATGTCATAATATTGCAATGAATTTAAGTTTAAAAGACCGAAAGGAATGCCACATCGAGGTTGGCTTTATCAATTACATCTGTCTGGGTGGAAGTGCACGGTATAATCAATACCCAGAGGTTTAATTGGTCCAACCCTTGCACAAACTGCTGTGCATTTGTTTTTCATGTGCTGGTTGCATAAGGCAATTTACATTCTGGTCTAGGATGTTAATTGCAATGACGAACCTTCGTCATTGCCTTGTTTTCGTTCACATTCTGCCCCATTAATATTCTTGTTTTCCTTATCGTCCAAAAATCCCATTCGTTTTGCACGTAGTGCTTGTGATTCCTAGTAAGGTACTTTCCTCAAGTCCTTTTCCTTTCAAATTTCGTAGGCATCATCTCTAGCATCTCATCAAGGTCACCTACTTTTTCGATTTTCGAAATCAGTTATGCATGACCGTCCAGGCGCCATTTTGTCCGTTTCTGGTCCATTTTAAGGCCTTTCTATCTTCCTTCCTATCTCCACTATCCTAGATCCTACAAACTTCTAACAAATTCCTCTAGATAGTCTAAGAGGTGTTCTTTCATCTGCGACGTATAACCTGACCTTCAAAATGCCATCTTCGTACTTAAAATTCAAATCTGAAACCGACTCCGTCAAAAATCTCTCAAATTCTTGAGAAATTGACCCCTAAATAATCTAAAACTGCCATAACTTTCTCATATAAATTCCGTTTTGTATTTAAATCTCACAGTCTCTTAATCTCATAAATGCACATAGCCTTGCCAAATTTCACGCTCCAATGGTTTTGCAAAACATAAATAGCGCCCTCTAAAGTTCTGGAAATTGGCTTTCTCTCTGTGGCCGTATCTCCATTATGGCTTGGCAGAGCCGTACCCTTTTTTGGATTTAGATACTTGAGGATATGCCCTTTCCAGCCATATACAAAATTATATACCCTATCACTGACCAAATTTGCGAAAATTGCCCTCCAAATTCGCCATTTTCAAGAAAATTCCGAAATAACTTCAACTTGCTCTAAAATGGCGATCTTTATACCTACGTCGTTGAAACTTGGCAGACACATGTATCCATATACGTGACAACTGTCTGCTAAATTCGGGAAATTTTACTAACGTCAGCGCAAAGTTATCGCCAAAAATGATGAATTTGCTATGCATTACGTAATAGCGCCTTTAATGCGTGCAGTACATTGCGTGCAGATGACAATGGTGTCAAACTGACCGCAATGAAGTGCCCTTTCGAATGATACCAAGTATGGTATATGTTTACACAGAAAATTGTGAGTAAATCGCATTTGAACAAGGGTCACTATACGAATTCCGCCCGATTATAACACTTATCGGCCATGACGTCATTTTTTTCAGACTACTTTTCGCCCCCTAAACATCCTTTTTTTTCGTTGAAAATTTGCAATGACATTCCGAGATGCAATACGCAGGGCACCTCGTGGCCGGATTTTTGAAATTGGTCAAGGGGGCCATTTAAGACGCCATTTTGTCCTTTAAATCTATTTTACATCACATGTTTCGATAGGATTATCATAGAAAAAAAGAGAGTAGTTTACAATAACGACCATGAAATTCTCTTTCCAATGATACCATATACGGCCCATAAAGAGACATAAAGAGAGAGAGAAAAAACAATTTAACTCCGGTCATAATACAGATCCTCTACGTTTTCCGCCCATGCATTACACGCATTGTCTATGGGGCAAATCGGGTTCACGCTTTTGACCCCTAGAACGATCTTGATTGCAATGACGAACATGCAACTAATCCCATTTGTTTTTGCAGCAGTGCTTGCGAGCCCTTTCTAGGTTCTTTCCCCTATCCCAATTTCTTTCAAACATCGTAGGCATAGTCACTACCATCCCATCAAGGTCACTATTGAGGCCTTTCTTTCACCCTACCTGTCTCCAATATTACAGAAGCTAAAGACTTCGTACAAATTGCTCTGGATAGTCCGAGAGAAGCTATTTCGTTCGACACGTAGAAACACGGCGTCATTGCACGCACATCGTTGTGACACGATTGCATTTCTAGTTATGTTTCCACCTCTCATTGTTGAATAATTCACTTGATGAGAGAAAATATGTTTGCAGCAATTGAGACTTGTTAGTATCAGGTATCCTGGTATTTACGGTAGTTACCACCACCACCACCACCCCCCCCCCCCTCCCAAAAGAAAATTAAACTTAAAATCTGACAATTACTTTGTTTTAGCCTTAACCAATTGCCTACAGGAAACAAGTTGCTCCTGTATTCCTATGTAGGAATGACAGTATCCAGGATTCGTTTAACGAAACAAAGGATATAATAAAACATACCATCACAGTGATCACACTCCATGTAATAATCCATTATATCCTCATAAGGCTGTCCAAACGCCAGGAAAAAAATGCCACAAACGGTGAGTAAGATCAAGAGAGGGGGTTACACAACAAGCTCCAGACTCTGATGAAACTACTAAGTGATCCCTGGATGTTTAGACCACAAAAGTTCAGGGGACTAGATGTAATCATGGACCCACTAACAGTGTAATGTAGGTAACGAGCAGCCTATCTTATCAGGATCGGTGACAGGTTGTCAACACGCAGCATGGTGTAACACAGCTGATCTGCATTGACGATTGATACGCTATCGACACGACTGTCTGGTCCTTATCTCCAAAGTGTACTCTCCTTCGTCCACCCTGTTTTTGGTGTCCTTAAGCAAGATTAGATGTTTCCTAGGCTAGGCTGGTGGTGGCGGTGGTGGTGGTGGTGATGAAATCGTATTGGCGTCTGCGTTGAGGTTAGATCGGAGGGAGGTGTACTGTATCGGGCATGGTTTTGTGCGCTGTATCAATTACAGGAGAAGATCGGATCCTCAAAAGGACAGCCTTGTTGCGGCACGGATTGATGCTCACGCCTAAACACCTAGTACTTTACAGGGTTCACGCAGAGGGGGAGAGGAGTGGAGAGCCCTTTTGAGGGACGACAGTTATAAAAGGGAACAATTCTTCGGCTATTCATCGCCCGCCCATTCAGTCTCGTCGTTCTGCGCTTTCTAAAAGAAGCCAGCTTTGATAGTTTTTAATCCATGCGTATTAGCACTTCTGCCTTTTCAGTTGGAACAGCCCTGCTGGTAGTCTAAGCTCCAAACTCTTTAGGGGTAGCTTCGTTTCATTACACAAAACCTCACAGGAATCCAAAGACTACTTAAAGCAGGCAATACAGATTTTTTTAACAGTTTATGACTACATGGTGCATGAAACTCCTTCGAAATCTGCCTGTTAATCAGTCCGATTTCCCAAAAGACAGCATGACAAGGGTCTGAATATATAGTCTACAAACTGTCTGTGGTGGTTGGGTTTATACCACATTACATAATGAGCCATTGGTATTATTGATTGAGGGCAAATGCACTTTAGGGTATAATTAGTCTATCAAAACAGACTCCAGCTATAATTTCTGTAAACCAATGTTTGAGTGACACAAATTAAACAAAATATGAAATAAATTCTACGATAGGCTAAAATAGAGATCTATTGAACAGATGTTTTGACTTTACAAATGATGAAGTCAGTAATCTCAAATTAGACTTAAACATTTGATAGTGACCAGAAAATGACTGAATTGGGTCTGCGCGATTGAGACCAGAGTCAGAACGGCTTTATATTTACTAACCAGAGCGGATAAGAATGAAACCTATCCAGACAGAGAACAATAGAGGGAGCTTTCCAAACCAATATGTCTAATAAAACGTTGCTTGTAACAACCACTCAAATGATACCCACTTATCCTTATGCCAAAATATATGTCTATTGATATTCCCTTATGAAACCAATTTTCACACAATCTTTAAAGGTAAAGACCAGTTCTGGTCATGCGATTGCATTGTGAAAGAAACGTTGTGGAATCGATCAGAAAAGGTTGATCATCTAGCATATAAGTATTGGTGTGTCCTGCAAGGTTCTGGAATCATCAAAATGATAAGAAATTTGGCCCAGTCTTGGTAAAGTTACAAGGACTGTACACAGAAAGATGTACATGGGACTGCCCTATATCTATCCAGTCCAGATAGATATAATAATTTACCAAATATATCAATTAGTAGGCGGTTTCCCGGCAAAATTTGTATGATCATGTATTAGTCAAAACATATTCTGTCACATGATTGGTAATAAGAGCTTCCATTTCATTTTTTGAAATGGAGGCGTTTCCAAAACTGGTCTTTACCTTTAATACAAATCATAGATATAACTACCTCATACCTGCAACTAACCAAACTTATGTAGTCAGTCTACATCATTAAGACTCATTAAGGAGGTCATGAATACTTGTATCATCCTTTACCTTCAAAGACTAGTCATTCATGGTCATAAAAGAGTCACCTGACACCTGATATCATTCACTATTTGTTGGTTTATTTGTTTTGTTTTACCTGACTGCTAAAAAAAAGCATGTGAACGCTTGTGAGTAAGCAAGGAGACCGATGGCTTCAAGTCCTCTCTGAGGGGCTTGGTTTGTTTTGCTTTACCTGACTGCTTAAAAAAGCATGTGCATGCCTGTGAGTAAGCAAGAAGGAGACATATGGCTTTTAGTCCTATCCGAGGGAGTTGGTAGCAAGGAATAATGCAGTGAAAAAAATACACTGGGCTCATGCAGGGCGAATTTGCCCCCGAAATGCCCAAAAGAGCCCCCATAAATTTGCATAGAGTTCAATGCAAAACAAGTTTTAGAGTGTTATTTTTATATAGGCAAGCTTGAAAAGTAGCCCCCGAAAAATGAATATTAATTCCCCCCCCCCCTGGAATAATGGTGTACCAAAGGGCACCGGCGCAACAACTTGGTTTCAACGGGCACCAACACAATGACTTGATTTCGAACCTGGTAGGCGGTACCTATCGGTAATGATAGCGCTCAATCCACCTGGATTTGAAGTTGGGCCATTTTGCAAGCACCTAGACCAGAGAGCTATTAACAGCCACAATGTATATCATAAAACAACATATATACATTTACTATAATAATATAGTACATATCAATCATTTGATTTACAAAATCGATTGGACAAATCGCTTTTGTGTACAAAATCTTTCCCAAGACCAATTTGAGGGAAAAGTGTTGTTTAACAATATTTCATTTAAAAAAAATTTAAAAAATTGCCTGCAAAATAGATTTAAAAACATTTTTATTGATATGAGATACCATTCAACATGAGAAGTGGTCTCTTAGACTCTTAGCAATGCAAAAATGCTATGCCATATCCATCGGAAGATAAAGAATAAAAAAAGAAAGGCTGCAAGATGGAACGTCGGGACAGCACACCACTGCGCTGTGGTCAAATTCTTAATGTACCACACAAATAAAGTATAAGAATTGTTTTCCATATAAATTGAAATGGGTAGGAGAGACAGAGAGACGGAGAGGGGGTGAGGAGACATAAGACCATAGAGAGGGAGAGACAAAGACAGAGACAGAGAGAGAATGATAGAGAGGAAGAGATGGAGAGAGACGGAGAGAGAGGGAGAGGGAGAGAGAGAGAGAGAGAGAGAGAGGTAGATGGACAGAGACAGAGAAGTTAGAGAAAGAGAAACATGGGAACAGTATAAAAGACTGAGGGAGCAGGGATGTAATTTTCCTGCTTTTTCAAACTTTTTCTCCGCAAACTTGCGCTGACGCAAAACCATGACGCCACGACGCCCGGATGCCACTCGCGTTCCCCGCGGAAGGCTTAAAACAGGCCATAAGAGGGATAAAAAGAAAGCTGTGAATGATAATGGTTTCTTTGCACTAGCTAATGTCTGCGATTCCCCCCGGGGGCTAAGATGGCCGCCTGCCTACACAAATGTTTCACTCACTACAATCATGAATAGATGATTAGGCGCTTGAGCCTCACTCACACATGAGACTGCGTAGAAGAAGAAAAAAACGCAGCAGCAAAATAAAAGAAACTTTAAGAAATTTATTCCATTTAAAATGTAATGGGTAGGAGAGAGACAGTGATGAGACATAAAAACAGAGAGGGAGAGATAGAGACTGAGACAGAGAGAGAAAGTAAGAGAGAGGCAGACAGAGAGATAGAGACAGACAGACAGACAGAGAGGGAGGGAGGATTTCTTCATCTCACTTGCAAAGTTCTGCAATGGCACTTCATATATAAATCAAATAATATGATCATCTTTTGTATTATGAAAATGCTTTTATTACGTCGCAGCATTTTTTCCCCTTTTTGGCAGTCTATCGTATAAAGTGTGAAAGAGGATTCATGGTGAGGAGAAAGCATGTATCCATCTTGCAATTTTTTTATCTCTTCTTCAAAGAGTACATTTTTATTATGCCCCAGCCTTTTGTCCTTTTAGGTGGTCTATTCTATCAAGTGTAAAAGATGCTCCATGAGGAGGATGTATCCATCTTGTGCAATTTGTTATCTCTTCTTCATAGAGTACATTTTTATTATGCCGGAGCATTTTGTCTTTTTTTTAGGTGGTCTATCCTATCGAGTGTGAAAGATGATCCATGAGGAGGAAGCATGTATCCATCTTGTGAATTTTGTTATCTCTTCTTCAAATGGTGCACTTTTATTATACCGCAGCATTTATGACCTTTTTAGGTGGTCGATTGCATCAAGTGTGAAAGCAGCTTCATGAGGAGGAGAGAATGTATCCATCAAGTCCATCCAAATCCATCTTGTGCATTTTTGTTATCTCTTCTTCAAAAGGGTAAATTTTTATTATGCTGCAGCATTTATGACCCTTTTAGGTGGTCGATTGCATCAAGTGTGAAAGCAGCTTCATGGGGAGAAAGAATGTATCCATCAGTTTCATCTTGTGCATTTGTTTTATCTCTTCTTCAAAGGGTACACAGGCCCTGGATGCGGCTTTGTGAGGGGCAGAAAACGAGCATTTCATGTCTCCGCTTTGGCTATTTCGGGAAAAGCCCGAGAATAATGGTCTTATCTGAGGCGAAGAAGCCGTCACTTGAAGAGGAAAAGGATGATAAATCTATGTGGTTTTGTTGGATGGAAGGTATTCTAAATGACATGGATTTCTGATTAGGAAGCACTATAAGCCAGCTACTCGTCGTATTGATGGAGAAAAACAACATATTGTAAATTCTTCTTCTTATTCTCTATTAATATCTCTTTTTTGCCATTTGTCTCTTCATTTTGTCTCATGAATAAAAAAGAGAGTGGAATTCCATCTCTTTGATATATATATATCTATTTCACTCTGTTACTTTATACATTCATTCTCACCCATCTTCACTGCACTGTGTGGAATAATAAATTTGCCCTGCAATTTTTTTCACTCTTTCAATTAGTGATTGTCGTTTGCTTTCTCGCTGTCTCTCTTCCCCTGTCTGTCTATCTGTCTGATTATCTTCCTCTCTCTCCCTCCACCATATCTTTTTCTCTCTTATTGTTTCTCTTTCTCCCCTCCTCCCTCTCTCTTTCTCCCTCCACATCTTCCCCTTTCTCTCTCTCTCTCTCTCCCCCTCCCACACCCATCTCCTCCCCCTCCTCTCTCTCTAACCATGGACCTACTCTATCATGTCTCCTGTCTGATCACAGATCTCCCTCTCTCCCTCCACCATATCTATTTCTCTCTTACTGTTTCTCTCTCTCCCCTCCTCCCTCTCCCTCTCCCTCTCCCTCTCCCTCTCTCTCTCTCTCCCTCCCCATCTCCCCTTTCTCTCTCTCTCTCCCCTCCCACCCCATCTCCTCCCTTATCTCTCCCTCTCTCTCTCTCTCTCTCTCTCTCTCTCTCTCTCTCTCTCTCTCTCTCTAACCATAGACCTGTGTACTCTATCATGTCTCCCGTCTGATCACATTTCTCCTTCATCCATTTTCTCTCCATGTATGTACACCCACTGGGATACCATTTTCCAACATTTATAGGCTAGAAATTCAGACTCCTGTCAGTATAAATATAGGAGCTAGTATTGGAAACAGCACACACATTATGATAATCAAACAAACACAAGCACAAAATTATGGTCTGAACCATCAGATTAACATAAAACATAACTCTCATCACGTTCTGCATTAATGTTATGGCCACATCAAGCTGAACTTAACTTATGTCATGACATCAATCTC